TTTTGATGCTATTGTAAATGAGATTGTTTTCTTAATTTCTCTTTCTAGCAGTTCATTGTTAGTGTATAGAAACCCCACTGATTTCTGTATATTAATTTTGTATCCTGTAATTTTACTGAATATTTTATTAGTTCTAACAATTTTTTGCTGGTTTTCCATATATAATATCATGTCATCTTAAAACAGAGATAATTTTACTTAATTCAACTCAAAACGGATCAAGGACTTGGATGTAAGACCTGATACTGTAAAACCCCTAGAAGAAAATACATAGAAAAAGTTCCTTGACATTGGTCTTGGCAGTGAATTTTTTGATTTGACACCAAAAGCAAAGGTAACAAAAGCAAAAATAAACAAATGGGACTACATCAAACTAAGAAGCTTCTGTACAGCAAAGGAAATCATCAACAAAATTAAAGAGCAACCTATGGCATAGTAGAAAGTATTTTCAAACCACATATCCAATAAGGGGTTGATATACAACATGTACAAGGAACTCATACAACTTAACAGCAGAAAAAAATAATCTGATTAAACAATGGGCAAAAAACCTGAAGAGACATTTTTCCAAAGAAGACACAGAAATGGCAACAGGTATATGAAAAGGTGCTCAACATCGCTAATCATCACGGAAATACAAATCAAAACCACAATGAGATATTATCTCACACCTGTTAGGATAGCTATCACTAAAACACAAGAGATAACAAATGCTGGTGAAGATGTGGAGAAAAGGGAACTCCTGTGCACTGTCAGTGGGAATGTAAATTGGTACAGCCACTATAGAAAATAGTATGATGTTTCCTCAATACAATAGAACTACCATATGATCCAGCAATCCCACTTCTGGGTATATATCCAAAGGAAACAAAGCCCTTATCTCAAAATGATATCTATATTTCCATGTTCATTGCAGCATTATTCAGAATAGGCAAGACACGGAAACAACCTAAGTGTCCATTGACAGATGAATGGAAAATATTATTCAACCTTAAAAAAGAAGGAAATCCTGGTATTTGCAACAAGATGTACCTGGAGGGCATTATGCTAACTTCTACCCTATACTCTCTCATTTTTTTAAATTATTACTTCTAGTATTAACTATATATTTCTAAATAAAATACCCATTTTGTTATTTCTTATAAATTCCTTTTAAACATTATCATTTGACTTCTTGTCATGGCAAAATAAGAATTTAGCTCTGAAATATAACATTTTCTAAAGTCTCTTCTTTCCATCCTCTCCATATAATCACATCACATTTTTTTAATTAAATAAATAGTAAGAATAACATTATTACAATTGTATATTTTTTCTCCATAAGGCCAAGTACTGAATGATAAATATACATCCTTTCTTGTATGCCTTTTTCTTTTTACTAAGTTAGTAGTTATGTCATGTTTCTTTTGGAAAATATGCTGAAAATCTTCCATTTGCCCCACCAGATCCTCTCACTACCCTCTTCTCCTGCATTCTGCTCCAGATGATCTTTATAGATTTTATCAGCAAGGCTCCTCTGTCATCTGTTTTGTGATTGGGTTCAGCCAATGACATGCCCTAGCAGATGATTTAAGAAAGGGGGGTGAGTGAGGGGTATTTATTCCCTTGACCACCCTGTCAATTGTCCTTCCACTGAAGGTCACTGGTCCTCTCAAATGGCTACCTCAAATCTCTCTCCTTTTCTATTTCTCCCAGTCCCTTCAGGCATAATGGTGTTAACAGCTCTGCTGCTTCTAACACTTGGTTCTGGTGCTGTTTCATGTCATACCTCCATACCTGCAACTTTATAGACAGTCTCTTTTAGAATAAACCATCCTCAAATTATCCTATCTTGATCATGTCATCAGTTTTCTGTTAGGAACCTAAATGATATAGAAAATTTCCTCAAATATATCAAAGTGTTCCAGTTGATTGACTATACATTTATGATTAAGATGCTCCAACATCATCTTAGATAATATAAATACCTACTCTCCTCTCTCTGTTTTCTGAAGCCTCCCTTCCTGGGGCTTCTATTCTTCTGCATTCAGTCATCTCTACTGCATCCTATGACTTCTGTTTATTTTCTATGGCATCATATTCTCATTTCAGGATTGCAAATATTTTCTCTCATCAATTTAAAGATACGAACAGTTTTTTAAAGTCTATTTCTTCTTGTGTTACCTTTGATTCCACCAGAGTCCTTTTGGCCTTCCTAAAGGCTCACTTTTTTTTCTTTAAATGTCTTATGTATATTAAAGAATAAAACACTAAAAATTTGACTAAAAGCTCTGGATCAATGGAGCAGAGCTCACTAATTGGTAGGCTTCTGGTCAGGGATCCAGAAGAGAGGCAGCCATTGAATTTGTGATCTCCAAAGGTAGAATGTGAAAGTCTCTTCTCTAATACCATTCAATTTCTTAACACAAAGATGCCAATATTCTGTTTGTGAAGGATATGCCTGTGTGAGCATCTGGGAGTGTGGTGTGGAAAGAGTGGATGGGAGACTGAAATATTCCCTTTCTGTCAATCTCCCTATTACTAGCCCTGAACCCCACCATCTCCTTTACCTGGTGTCCTGGCATCTCAAACATGTCAGGGATTCTGGGAGATAAATCTGTGCATTTCTCCTCAGTATCCCTCTCAATTGGTAGGTAGTCTTCTCTACTCTGCCAAATCAGTTGCCACACCTTGGTCTTCTCTTTTCCAAACATCTGTTGGAATCATTTGTGTGCATCTAACTTCTGTCCTGTTTTCTTTGTTCTTGTGAGTTTAAACGTTTTTCCCCTTTGCTATTGTTATTATTATTACTATTATTATTATTATATTTAGATCTTAGGAAGGAAAAGGAAAATGAATGTAGCCTGCCATTTTAGATATAATTTCAGTGTATTTATTACTTATAAAAATTAGGTATTTACAAAATGTATAGAATGATCCTTTTTGCAGAGGAAAGGTAATATGAAAAAAGACTATAAGTAAATGCAGCAAAATTTTCATGGTGATCGTGTATGGAAGGGCTAACGTGTGGAGAAACCATTTTAAAGAATTTTCAAATGTCCCACCCACCAGCTACTGTTAACATTATATTGCCCACCCCCAGCTGCAAAGGAGACACTGATAAATGCAATATTTTAGCTGAGTCATCATAAATAATGTCAAGTCTCTGTCACTAAGGAAAAAAAGAAACAATGGATATCGGGGTTACAAATGGCAGACTCTGTCACAGTATCTATTGTGCAGCCATCTCTGTGCTATATATGGACAGTAGAAAAGAAGATACATTATTTATATCCTCAATAAGTTCTGGAAATGAAAAAACATCCACTAAAAAACAAAAGACAGAAAAAATAAGTGTCTGATACTTTTTTATAAACTGCATACAGGAGTGTTGAAGGCACATAGAAAATAAATGTTGGATGAAAATAATCAGGGCAAAATTCTTAAAAAATATGAATTATGAAACAAAATCTGAAAAGTTCTTCAGAATAAAAATGCCTTTTCTGAATTATTGAGAATATCCAGCTATTCTCTAATTTTATTAAGAATACCACACAAAAGAAATGTGCATGTTCCATTTTGTCCTTGTTAAAAATTGAAAACAATTTTAACTAAAAATTCATAATAGAAATATATCTCCTTGACTTAGTCACTTCAATAGTTCAACTGTCAATTCATTTAGTTGCTTTAATTAATCTATTCTGTGTATTGCAAAAAAAAAAGTCAGATTGCTTTTAGTAAAAATGTTATCGTACTATTGGGGTGATAGAGAATATTCAAATTCTCCAAGAGCGTCTTTAAAAAAATTGCTCCCCAGCAAGATATGTAAAATGCTGTTTCTCTACTTTGTTTTTTCTTTTTTTTACTGTACAGAAACCATCCTTTGGGCAGTTTGTCAGTTTATACCAACTTCTTCATTGTATGCAGTATCTATTTCTATTTAGCATTTTCCACATTTGCTGCATTGCATTACAGTTATCTCTTTATGAATCTATTTCCCCTACTAGATTATGTGATAATTTGTGGGAAAAGACTAGGAAAGAAAGAAAATAAGAAGGAAGGTGAGGGGCCGGCCCCGTGGCTTAGCGGTTAAGTGCGCGCGCTCCGCTCCTGGCGGCCGGGTTCAGATCCCAGGCGCGAACCCACGCACCACTTCTCCGGCCATGCTGAGGCCGTGTCCCACATACAGCAACTAGAAGGAAGTGCAGCTATGACATACAACTATCTACTGGGGCTTTGGGGGGGGGGAATAAATAAATAAAATCTTAAAAAAAAAAAAAAAAGAAGGAAGGTGGGGCTGGCCTGGTGGCTTAGCGGTTAAGTGCGTGCGCTCCGCTACTGGGGCCCTGATTCGGATCCGGGCGCGCACCGCAGCACCGCTTCTCTGGCCATGCTGAGGCCGCGTCCCACGTACAGCAACTAGAAGGATGTGCAACTATGACATACAGCTATCTACTGGGTCTTTGAGGAACAAAAAAAGGAGGAGGATTGGCAGTAGATGTTAGCTCAGAGCCGGTCTTCCTCAGCAAAAAGAGGAGGATTAGCACGGATGTTAGCTCAGGGCTGATCTCCCTCACACACACACACACACACACACACACAAAAGAACAAAGGTGGGAGGGAGAGAGGAAAAAGAGAGGGAGAGAAATAAGAAGGCAGCTCCTGGGAAGATAAATTTTTTTTGTGAGAAATGATCTGATTCCTCAGAGATGTCTTTCTCTTGTAACTCCATTCTAAATCACTAAATTATAGCTTAAGAGTGTTAGATTTGAATTGATCTAAAGCAGTTAAATGAGATACTGAGTAGAAGTATCTAGAAATAAGAGGAGAAAATTCTTGCCAGTATGGATGGTTTAAGTTTAGCCCACCTAAAGGCAGAGAAATGAAATAGCCTCAAATTATTCTCTGTTAAAAGAAAAGTACAAGATCATTGAATTTTAGAGATTATTCTTTAAAATTATTAATAAGATAGATACCATTAAAGGTTTCAGCCAATTCTCTGATTTTGCTTTTCTGACAAACTATCCCTTTTGCTTTTCCTTAGAAGAGAACTTGCGACTCCGTAGTCGTTTCATGGCATTCTTTACATCCTCATTTCTCAGAGTATAGATGAGTGGGTTTAGCATTGGGGTGATGGTAGTATAGAACACAGACACAGCCTTATCCAGTGGGAAAGCTGTGGATGGACGGAGATAAATAAAGATGCAAGGGAGAAAGAAGAAAGTTACTACAGTCAGATGAGATCCACAGGTAGAGAGAGCCTTGTGTCGACTCTCTGCAGACCGCTTCCGAAGAATAAATAGAATGACTGTGTAGGAGGCCAGAAGAATGAGGAAACACCCCAGAGAGATGAGACCACTATTGGCAATCACCAACATATTTACCAGGGTTGTATCAGCACAGGCAAGTTTTAGGACTGGGTGGACATCACAGAAGTAGTGGTCAATGACTTGAGCATCGCAGAAAGGCAGTTGAAATGTCAAGAGGGTCTGAACAAAAGAATGACCCAGGGATCCTAACCAGGACAGTGATGCCAGCACAATACAAGCATTGGCACTCATGATGGTGGTATAATGGAGAGGTTGGCAGATGGCTGCATAACGGTCAAAAGCCATGACAGTCAAAACAAAAATCTCAGCACAACCAAAAAAGTGGAAGGTAAACATCTGAGTTACACAGCCCCAGTAGGAAATAGTCTTTTTCTCAGAAACAAAGTCTTCAATCATCTTGGGTGCCATGGCTGAGGAATAGGCAACGTCCACAAAGGACAGGTTACTGAGGAAGAAATACATGGGTGTGTGGAGCCGGGGATCAGAAAAGACCGTAAGCAAAATGAGCAGATTTCCCACGATGATCACGATGTAGAAGAGGAGGAAGAGGGCAAAGAGAATCAGTTGCATTCTGGGATCTTGGGAAAGTCCTAGGAAGATAAACTCAGTAACATTGTTGACTCCTTCCATGGGGACCTAGGCTGGATTGGTTGAGTGGCTCTGGTTCTCTGTAAAAATAAATAAATGTTATTAACCATTGTAAGCATGGTAAAGCCTTACAGGAACAGCCTTATGAAAATATTTAAATGATGCTAAATATAGTAGAGGAAATTTTCATATTTCTTGAACATAGTTAATGAATATGTTTCTCATTATTAATTTTGTTACTACATTATTGACTCACATTTGATTTTCTGTTACACTTAGACCTATAGTTCCTTTCTCCCACACAGGAATCTAGAGGATATGAGGGGTTTTTTATCTATTGGATTTAATATTTTTCCTTAATCATATCTCTCTTTGTCTATCCATCTTTCTCTCTCTCTTTGTTATCTGAAATACTTTTTGGGATGAAAAAACTTAAATTAATTATTAAATAGATAAATTAATTTTGGAGATTGAAGATAAAAGCAAGAAGTCAGAATCAGAGATCTGATGTCAAAATGCTCAGATGAATCTTTTTAATATAACGTACACAGATCAACTTTAGAAGAATAATGTTCTGCTTAATCAAGTGAAGAAGACTCAGTTTCCAGTTTATAAACTAGATTGGAAGTTTCAAAACAATTAAAAATTGAGTCATTTTTAACGACTGAGAACAACATATATATACAGTGGCCTCCCGTTTACCAACAACCCGTGCTTAAAAATCACACTGGGAGAGTTTGAGTCCTAAGCCTTGGCCTACATCTGAAAATTCCACCTTGCTTGCTAGTAAAGAATACCTGAAGAGCCGTCAAACTGTACAGAGAAATACTTTTTCCTATGTTGCTCTAAAGAGCTGAAGAGTTTAAAAATTATTGAGGTTCCTATTATCCTCAATCCCTTTGCTTTGAAAAAGCCCTCTATCCTTTTAATCATAGGTAAGAATTAGGAATAGAATGTCCCAAACAGATAATGCTATAAACAGTAGTTAAAAAACAAATGTCTCATACTGTTTTACAAACTATGTACAGGAATGTTTAAGGCATACAAAGAAAAATATTGGATAAAAATAATCAGGGAAGAATTCTTGAAAGAGATGAATCATGAGACAAGATCTAAAGAAGTTCCTTGAAATAAAAAGGGCTTTTCTGAAGCAGTGCAAATTATTAGCTATCCTCCATCTTTACTAGAAACACCTCTTTTCTGCATGGACATAGTGTAAAGAGCACTGCCCAGAGGCTGAGTGATTTCAGTTTGAGCACCTCACCAACTGGATAACTCTAGGGAAATCCATCTATTTTCTTTAAATCTCAGTTTTCTCATCTATAAAAAATGGATGATTAAGTTTGTTACCTCACAAAGCTGTTAGAAAAATAAAATGAGATCATCTATGTAACTTTTTTTGTATTTATGAAGTGTTTTACTTCATAATTTAAATCTATGAAGTGAGATATTTCTAGTAAATAGAATTTGCAATCTATTCAGCTACTATATAAAAATTATATAGATGAAAAATAGAAAATATTAAAATTCATAAAATATTTTATTCCTGAAATAATAAACTATAGTATCTGCCCATTTCCATTAAAGAGATACTGTTAATAGTAGTTAACATTTACTTAACACTTTACTATGTGTAGGATTTTATGCTAAACTATTAGCATATGTTACCTTATTCTATCCTCACAAAAACATTATAATCTTTATCTTGATTTTAAAGACCACCAAAGTTTGAAGTTAGGTAATTCATCCAATATAACACAGTTGGTGAAGGGGCTGGTATTTGAATTGTAGCCTCCTGACCCCATGGAATACACATCCCCTTAAATAAATGATAGAAAGACAGATAGAACAATAGATAGAAAAAAGATGATGATGAAGATAGATAGATAGATGATAGAGAGATAGATAAATTTTTCATGATAAAGAAGTGCATTTAAAGCATCATTTTCTCTCTTATGAAGCAAAGTCCTTTGATTACAGAATATGGTCCATGTCTTTAAAATCTTTGAATATTCTATGACACTATATCAACAAAGCCAAACTGTGTTCAGTCATAACCAATTGGCAAAATCATAAGGGTTGAAAAAATATTTAGGTAATAATAGAAAATGCTTACATTGTACTTACTATGTGCCAGGTATTGTTCTAAGTGTTAATAACTCATTTAATTCTCATAACAATATTATGAGGTAGGTTATCATCATTATCTCCACTTCAGAGATGAGGAAACTGAAGCTCAGAGAGTAAATAACTTACTAAAGGTTATAGAGCTTGTAATTATCAGAGCTGATATTTGAACCTAGACAATGGGACTTCAGAGTTTATTTTCTTAATGCATGTACATGCCACTGGGGCTGATGGCATCAAAGTCATCATCTCTTCTTTCTCACTGGAAAGTCTTAAACCTTCTGAAATGGTCAAAAGACTCCTTTTCTGCTAATCATAAAGAGGTTTTTTTTTAAACTATATCCAGTATTTGTATTTCTTTTAACTGTATCCAGTATTAACTATACCCAATAAAGAGTACAGTTACTACTGGAAAGATCAGCACAAATCCACAGTTTATGCCCAACTTTGCTCAAAGTAAACTTACAATGAGAATGCAATAACAAGTGATGTGATTTTGAGCTTTAATCTAGACATCATTTCATCTGGAGTGTGTTGACAATCAAATAGAGGAGTCCTCACGGAAACTAACAATCACGATTCACTGAGATAAGGGTAAGGAAGTCCAGGAGAGTCAGGGACATCTTTCCAGAGAAATTCATCATTGAGTAGGATTTTGAAATGTGAGTTAGAGCTAATCAGATGATGCAGAGGATTGCAAGGTGTGGGCACAGAAGAGTGGAGGACAGGTCAGGAAGGACATCTAGATTAGTGAAGAGGATTTATCAAGATAAAAGGGTATAAATCATCATATGGGGAAGGCCAATAGGTTGATATGATTCGGCACAGAATCCTTGAAGGGAAGTGTCAGGAAATGAGGCTGAAAAGGAAGAATTGCTCAGATGGTAAAAAGTCTTGTGAGTTAAGTTGAGGAGTTGGGATTTATCTTGAATGATTTGGGGGATCATAAAGAAAGATTACTCTAGTGGTAGGAGGGCAGTGGGAATGGGAGGTGGTGGAGAGCAGTTGTTAAAAAGAAGAAGTCTGGTAACAAACTATAGAAATGATCCCTGAAAGTATAGTCTTACAAGGGACGAATGGATAAAGAAGATGTGGTATATATATACACAATGGAATACTACTCAGCCATAAGAAACGATGAAATCCAGCCATTTGTGACAACATGGATGGACATTAAGGGTATTATGCAAAGTGAAATAAGTCAGAGGGAGAAGGTAAAATACCGTATGATCTTCTTCATTAAGTAGTAGATAATAACAACAAGAAACAAACACATAGAGACAGAGATTGGATTGGTGGTTACCAGAGGGGAAGGGGGGAGGGAGGAGGGTAAAAGGGATAATTCGGCACATGTGTGTGGTGATGGGTTGTAATTAGTATTTGGGTGGTGAACATGATGTAATCTATGCATAAATAGAAGTATAATGATGTACACCTGAAATTTATACAATGTTAGAAACCAATGTTACTGCAATAAACAAAAAATTAAAAAAAAAAAGAAGAAGAAGAAGTCTGAAACCCAGCTTGCCTAGATTCAAATTCCAGCTTTACTACTTACTAACACTATGACTATGGGAAAGTTATTTAACTTCCCTTTGCCTCAATTTTCTCAAGTGTAAAATGTGCATAAGAATAGTACATACCATGGGGCCAGCCCCGTGGCATAGTGGTTAAGTGCACGCGCTCTGCTCCTGGAGGACCGGGTTCGGATCCCTGGCATGCACCAATGCACCACTTGTCAGGCCATGCTGTGGCAGCATCCCATATAAAGTGGAAGAAGATGGGCACTGATGTTAGCCTTGGGCCAGTCTTCCTCAGGAAACAAAAAAAAAAAAGAGGAGGAGTGGTATGGATGTTACCTCAGGGCTGATCTTCCTCAGAAAAAACAAACAATGGTACATACTACATAAGTGTTATAAGGATTAAATGTGTGTTACATATAATGGCACACTGAAAGTGAATATATAATTATTATTACCCATCTTAGTGACTCGAGTACATGCTGACTGAAAGGAAGGAGAGACGCCTGGATAGGAGTCGTCTTAGGATGCTGAACTCCTTACCACGTTCATCTCCTAATTCTCATTTATTTGTATTTCCGTGCTTTTCAAAATCTTAGAAAACGCCTCTGGTACTTACACTCACCCTCTCAAATATATTCCTTTGGCTGAAGTAGTAGCAGAATCCATATCCTTGCATGGTTTTCTGTAAGAGCTCAAGTAAGGATAATCAAAGATGTTTGAGCAGCTGCTCTATTCCTCCTAAATGGTAACCATCTCAACTTTATCTGGGATACCCCTCAGGATAGCATAAAACGAATCCAAGTCTAAGACCCAAGATCTGTCTACCATCTTCACTGAGAGAAAGAGCACAGGATTTAAAGATAGAACAACCAGGCTTGAGCTGCAGCTCTGCCTCTTACAGGCTGTACAAACCTCACACAATTTTCCTCACTTCTGTTAACCTCGGAGTCCTCCTTTGTGAGAAAACAATGCTATCCATGGCAAGAATCAAATTAATTAATGGACATAAAAATAATAAGTTACCTGCAAATCTAAGTCATAATCACTTTAGTGGTGGAATTTCAGAAGCATCAGTATCAGACACCTGAACTCTGGTTATTTCCACTGGTCCACTCAGATTCTTAGGTCAAATTTTATCTCTCTGGGATGATACCAAAGAATGCATGCTAGTTATAATGGGATCTATGCTATTAAAGAATCAAGATTGCTCCTTTATGTAACTCCATGAGACCACCTAAATTATTTCAAATAGAACAAATAGCAAGACAGCTCCTTAAAATCCTCTGGGAAAGAGATTTAGTCATAGTTTCTCCTGTGAGCAATTTGCAAAGGGCAGATATCAAACATTCTGGATCTCTTTCCTAACAGCAAGCTCCATCCCATGGCAAGCTC